TACAAACTAGTCAGGGGGGATCAGCAGGCACTGGGGGAGTCCTTGTTCCCCCGAGCACTGCCAGGAGTGACCAGGAATAATGGTCACAAGCTGGCAGAGGGTAGATTTGGGCTAGATATCAGGAGGCGATATTTCACAGTCAGGGCAGCTAAGATCTGGAACCAACTTCCAAGAGAAGAGGTGCAGGCTCCTACCCTGGGGGTTTTTAAGAGGAGGTTAGATGAACACCTTGCTGGGGTTGTTTGACCCCAGTACTCTTTCCTGCCATGGCAGGGGGTCAGACTAGATGATCTACTTAGGTCCCTTCCGACCCTAGAAACTATGAAACTATGCCCTCCCAGGCCCCCTGTTGCTGCTGTGCTTGGCTGCCCTGGGGACAGAGGGAGGCCTAGAGCTGCTTCTGTCCTGCTCCAACCAGACTGTGTGGGGATCTGGGTTTAGCCATGGACAACAGCAGCAGCAGGCGGGTTTCCACACCCCAAGCCTGCTTCTGGGCTAGTGGAGAACCCCCCAGGAGACCAGGAAGGGAGGGGGAAACCACCCATTGCTGTTGCTGTTGCTGTTGCTGGCAGAGACTAAGCCTGGCTCCCTGCTGCAGTCTGGCTGGGATGGGGCAGGAGTGGCTTTGCAGCTTCTCTACTCTATGCAAAGGAGGACAGCGTCAGTAATGGGCAGGGGAAAGGGAAATTGAGGGTGGGGAGAGAACATGCTGCTGAGCACGGAGGGGGAAGGGCAAGGGGAACTCTTACCTAATTCAAGAACTTATAAAGTCCCCAACTGCTGTTCCCATGGCATGATCTGAAGGGAGGGTGAGACCGTGCTATTGCACCCCCTCTGTTTTCACCCCTTTGTTTGAATGATGTAACATTTCCACAGAAGAGGCATCCCACCAGTTGCTTTCTGTTGTTTATCCACTGCAGTTTGCAATAAGGCTACAGTGCAATAGGTAGATGTTATTTGCCAATTGCCTATTGGATGATGAAAAGCATACCGCATTCCTGATAATCAGCTTTAACATTTTTCCCTTTTATTCTTAATATAGTTTGCATGACTGCACAATGTGAAACAAATATAGGAGATTCTAACAAGTGCATGTTCTTTTCTGTGTACTACTGATCATTAAGGGTGCGCTTTACTTCTGATTGTAACATCCTATTTTCAGTTGCTTATGAGTCTGCTAAACTTTAACCTTATGACTGAAATTTTCCATGGCAGATATCTGCCTCGGGTCTTTTTTTTTTTTGGAAAATTATAGTCAAAATCATGTGGCTATTTCCAAGAACAAGGTGAGGGAAATAGAAGTTGCCTTCTGATTTTATTTAAAATAAAACCCTCCCAAGTGACCTTTAGAAAACTCTCTTTAGAAAGCACATACTGCTTTGGAGCAGGGAACTAACATTTGGCACCTCTATTACCTCTGTCTTCTGACAACCCTGTGAAAATCTGTAATAGTGCCGGAGAGGGCACAGAGACAGGGCTGCAGCAAGGCCAGTGCCAGAAAGGATGCAGAGACAGGGGCCAAGGGCCCAATGATGACCGGAGGCCAAGTTAGACTGAGGCCTCATCAAAATAGGGATGTTTAAATACCACGTGTGAGGCATGGGGGGTGGCAAAGGGAAGGTGTTGGAGCCACACGTCTAGCGCATAAGGCTTGGAGATACCATAAGTCACCTCCTGAGCGTGGGACCCAGTAAGGGGTCTGTGGCAGAGCACTGTGTTCCTGCCACTTTAAGGCCCTGGAGCTGGCAGCCTCCAGGTGCCTAATGAGGGCAGCCATTTTAGGTTCCGGGCTGCCTATATAAACAAGGCATTTTGACTGCCGTTAGTCAGGCAACAGCATTGCCTGGCTAGAGGGCTACTGAGGTTCATTTGGAGGTAAGGGAGGTGCTGTAGGGAATGGTAGGAGGCTCCTGGTCCTGGGTATGACCTAAAACTGCACCCTGCTGGGAGTGGGTGGCCTGGTGGGGCTCTCAGTGGCACGGAAGCTCCCAGGAAATGCCAGGCCAGTGATCACCCTGGTGAAAGGCGGGTCAGGGTGCATTAACCCTTTGCCCCCACCACTGGGTGGGTTACCTGTTTATGTGTAGGGCCCAGGGGGTGGACCCTACAGAGACTGAGAGGCTAGAGACTCAGTGCTGATTGAGAGAGTACTCTTGACTGGCCCGTGCTGGGGCCAGGACCAGATTGGTCAAAAGGGCCGGGGGCCCACCGTGAGGGATGCCTGAGAGCCAAGGGCCAGGGGTTCTGACTGGCCTGGAGGTGGGCTAGGGCTGGTAGCTGAAGGTCCCGGGAGGACCACACCCAAGAGGGGGAAAATGGCTTCAGGGAGCTACATAGCCTGTATGAAGGTAGATGAGGCCGCCTGATGAGAGGACTCTAGGTTGGGGTTCAATAGGAGGATTCTGTGGCCCAGAGTGGGGCCCAGTGATTATGTGAACATCGAGATGCCATCAGCGAGGCTTGGGATGTGGTGTAGGGGAGGAATGGAGCTGCAGATAGCACCCCCTGGCATCGGGGCAGCTAATGGCAAGCCTCCTGCTTATTACCAACTAATTAATTCATTAAGATGAAGGCGTGGTGGGCAAGAAGGCGGGTGGTTAACCCAAAAACAGGTGAGTGGGCCACATGGAGATCGGCCACAAGCAGGCCCCCTGTTACAGGGTTCAACAACCCACACTGTTTAGAGGAGTCTGACTGTGACAGAGCAGCAACTCAAGGGCAGCCTCCCGATTCATAATTTATACCAGCAAGACATGGCAGGAGAGATTAATAGGTGCCCATAGGGCAGAGCCAGTGTGGTCACGGTGCCCTAAGGACATCACGGCCATCCTTGGGGAGGCCATATTGTGACAGCGATGGTTAAAGCTGAGGGATCAGTCTAATGTGACTAAGGCCATTGGACTTTTAATCTTCCCAATTTTGATCACTTGTATTTGAAAACTGTTATAAATCCCCTCCGTCTTCTCTTCCTCAGAATAAATAATCCTAATGATTCTAGCCTTTTAATCATTTTTGTTGCTCTCCTCCAGACCTCTTCCAATTTTTTCAAGTCTTTCTTGAAGTGCAGGGCCTAAAACTGAACACGGTACTCTGGGTGAGGCCTCACCAGTGCTTAATAGAGGAGAAAAATCACTTTCTGTAACTTGAATGTGATATTCCTGTTAATACATCCCAGTATGCTATGTTATTTATTTATTTTACAAAAAAATTACACTGTTGGCTGATATTTGGCTTGTAGTCCACTATAACCCACACAGCCTCTTTTGTAATACTGTAGTCTTGCCAGTCATTCTCCATTTTCTACCTGTACATTGGATTGCTCTGTCCTAAATGCAGTACCTGGTATGTGTGCTTCTTGAATTTCACCCTATTTATTTCAGACTATTTCCCCAACTT